TGTTGTGTCGCTTAAGTTTCGTCGGAACGAAGTTACGGAAAATTAATTAACAAACGGAGACGTAACAGCATCATCTATAAGAATGGAGACTATTTCATTTACTAAATGTTTTGTTTTGATATATAAGTTGTTATGGTTTTTTCATCTTAAAAGCGACATCAATTTCTTGACTACTTAATAGGTTTATTCTTTGCAGTTGTTCGGTTTTTTTTTCATCAAAAAAAAGCGACATTAATTTCTTGACTACCTAATAGGTTTCAAATTGATGACGAGGAACCCACTTTGAGACTAATAATGGCTAGAGACGGCTTGAATGGGTAATGAAGAAAAACTTTAATATAAGTTTAACATAACATCAAATGTACAACGTTTCGACAAGGTTTTGTCATCATCAGGTACACCTAATAGGTTTATTCGTTGTTCTGGTTTTTTCATCTAAAAAGCGACATTAGTTTCTTGACTACCTAATAGGTTTATTCGTTCCCATAGTACATTTAACGTCGTTTGTAAAAGTGGCTTACAGCCGTGTACAGTAACAGCAATTTGTAAAAACGTCAAGGAAGAAATAAATAAACAAATTTGTTATCGTTTACGTGGGCTTGACTTTGAATTATTTTTATCAGATAATTTAAAATAAACTTAATAATTATATGGTTTGAAGTTTCTTTCTGATATCTTTACCAAATTTATGATATTTTTGAGAACTGTCACACAAAGCTTATGTAAATAAAGAAAATGTTATCTATAAATAATAATCAGCACTATTGGGTTTTAATCGTAATCTGGAATTTTTTTTACCACAATATAAAATATGTACTTATAATGAGGAGAAATAAAAAAGTACAAAATCTTTATTTTTAATGCCATAAATAATGCTTTGAAATTTGTGGTAGCAGTTTGGTTTGTTTAGTGCGTACGTGATATGACTGTTGCAACTTGATCGTTGTTTTTCTTAGCAAAGTTTGATGATAATTTCTATAGCAATAGTCACCTAAAGTATCTAAAAAATGTTTGATTTGGGATGTTAAATCGTGTTTTTAGGATTATATCGGTGGTCTGAAAATTTTTAATCTGGAGTTTATGTTAGTACTAAAAACCCATAAATGAAATCAAAGAAGAATATGTTACAATATGTCAACTATACTACATTTTCCATATCAAGTGCCGACGAAGTATATCGTCAAATACTAGGACTCATCAGGCCAGCCAGTATATTGACAGACATAATTAATGGTTTAGGGGCTATATGTATGCCATCAGTTTTCATGAACAACGACTGTATTGTAATTATCATAATTTTTATTAAAGTCATTTACAAATGTGATTTTTAGGGGAAGCATTAATAACTCAACATTATTTATTTTATTTTTAACACTGGTTACTTATTTATTATTATTTTAAATTAACTTTAATTTCATTCACAAGAACTAGTGAACCAACAAGCAAGTCCTATGTTTAACATTATATGAGGTTTTCAGAGGGCGTTACGTTTAGTAAACCGGCAGTTGACATTTAGCTTAGATGCTTGAAGTTGAAGAGAAGGCGGGAACAAAAATGGCAGTTACAACACGTTAGATAATGGAATAGACTACGATATGGTACAAATTAACATATATTTCTATATAATGTAAACTATTCATTTTCTTAAACTGCAAAAATTAAATATTAGGTTGTTAAGGCTAAATACTTTGTGCGAGAGCATTTCAATTTGTACATAAAATGTTTGCAGTCAATAATATAATATCAGTTTTAGTTTCAAATTTTTCTTTTCCACGTAACATTAACAGTTGAAACGAATGAAACAGCTAGAACAGGAACGAGATGTGTTGTACCAGGGTTTGGAAGCTGTTGAGCGTGCACGAGACTGGTACCGGCAAGAAATCGAGTGTGTCCTGAAGAAAATGCCATACTTCAGTCAAACTGGCGCGATATTTGTTAGTATTGAGTTAACGTTCTTTGAAACCTTTCAACATCATATGCTCATAATACAGTTGATTTTTTGTGCATCAAGATTCTTTGTTATTCCCAACAAATATATAATTTAAGAAGAACTTTGAAGTAAAGACAGTAAACATAAAATGTAACAGATGTATATATACATTAGTTTTACATTTTTCAAATGAAGACAAAAGTCAAAGTCAATTCCTTAGTAAATTATAGAAATTCTGAAAGGTAATGATAATGGTATTACTATTAATACTATTATAAAATAAGCGTTTGTTTTCCATTAAATTTTATGTTTAAATCTGGTATGGTGTTTCTATTTAGTCTTCATATAATTTATAAACAAGATGTGTGTTTGTGAGCAGCTATATGCTATTAGTATCATCCATATTATCATCATTACTAAGTTTAACATTTTTATAACAGGCTTATCTCATAAAAACAAATGTCTATGAACAGCTCTAAGTTGTGTTAGCTTTAGCCTTGTAGACATGACATGCCTGAGGATGGTCCTTTATGCTTGTATTAGAGAAGGAAGTATTGAAGCAGAGAATTTTCTGGTCTTTATTGTTCACCTGAGTCATGCTAAAGATTTAGCATTTTAAGCAATGTGTTTTGACTATTCATAATTCAGTGAATTATTTAGTGCTAGTTCATGTAGATTGTGGCTATAGTTAATATATGTACTTGTGAATACCTGATTTAAAGAACAACTAAGCAATATATTTAGTTTTAGATCTATCTTGTATTGGTATGGATTATTGGATTTAAATTCAATTATTATTATTTCTGTCCTTTTACAAATTTCAGGAGTATTCCACTGATGCTTACCAAGAAAGGCAAAATTTCCAAATGAGTAGAATATTTGAAGTAAACCAACATATTGCAGCACTTACTGAGAGCACCGAAAAGGTTTTTTTATGAGTAGAAAGTATTGATTCTTTCAAAGGTTTAAGTGTTAATTTTTCTTTGTTTCTGATAATAAAAATCTGTGGTCAAAATTAAATATATTAATCAACTTAAACTTTTTAGAAAACATTTTAAAATTTACACTTTTTTTTTTTGTTTCAATTTTTAAAGTAGATGAAAGTAAATGTGAAAGTTGTCAGAGAATTAAAATAACAAATTTACTTTGTATGATATATATATATACAGTTTATATATTCACCTGTGCTTACTTTAAAAGAACCTGAAAATTATCATTCTGTACTTTAGAGCCTTTATTATTGTAAGATTTTAATTCAGTGTACACGGGTGGGGTCAAAGTGTGCATGCCCAGATATTGTACGAAGTGCTATACAAGATGGTATCATGCATTTGATGTCAGAGTTATCAAATTTCCATATTAGTCTATGCTGCTGATTTCACAACAGTTTGTATTAGAGAAAATACCAGATACAATATACAGGGATAATGAAACAAAACTTGATGTGCATTTAGGAGGTTTTAGAGGTTATGAAGGTTGCAAACTATGCAATGGAAAAAAGTAGTGTTATTCTTCAAAATAATGCTATTTTGCATTCCAACTTGTCAGAGTCTGGGTCAGTCTGACTTTGGCATTTCACAGACATATCTTTTGTACAAAAACTGTAGTAACACATTTGATTTTTTTAGGTTCATTGATTAATGTCATAACCCACAAAATAATCAATTGATCAAAATTAATTTTTATGATTTTTAATTTTTTTTATTATTACGACTGTCCAAGTAATTGAAATATTAGCTATTAGCCCTTGCATTGGTGTGACTGCACATGACAATATTTACTGAAAAATGTCTGTTTGTTTATCATTTTAACGTGTTCTCTCTGAACTTATGTCCAGTATCAATAACTTTTTTCTAAAAGCTTATGATGTTTTTTATACTTATAAGGTTTTCATTTATTTTTTAAGTTTTATACACTAATAATAGAATTTGAAGAAATTCCAAAATGTCTAATTTAAAATTTTTCCGTATTACTATGATGTAAATATTTCTTAAAATATTTGATTTTCATCTTTGAAGGGAAGTAATCTAGTATAATCCCAAGTTTTTTTGTCAAATGGTAAACATTGTACTATGTTTGTGTTTCTAGAACGAATGTGAACTTACTTTTACTCTCTAATATATTATTTATCACAAACTGTGACAAGAATATTTATTAGTTTTAATACATGGAAACTTTGGACAATTATTTTTAAAAAACAAATCATTTATTTAGTTTTAGTAGAAAATCTGTATGTAGAAACAATTGGAACTGCATGAATGATACATTTCCATGTACAATAGTTTAGAGTTTAAAAAAGTTAGTTAATCTTAGATTGTTGTACCTGAAGATGTTTATCATGTTAAACAAAGGCTTGTTTAAAAATGTCTTTTAAAAAAACCAAAACATTTGAAAATAGGAAGATAATCAAGTTAATGTTATCTGCTTTCTGAGGTATTAACAAGTCAGGGGTATGAAGAAAAAATAATAGTTCTGAAATGAAATGTTGGTGAATTTGTAAACTAAGACATTGAACTATGAGGACTGACTTTAGAATAACTAAGAAATAAGTAATTTGTCACACACAAAAAAGAAATTGGATGCACTTCTGTTTATAGAAAAAATTATTAATGTTAATAGCTTTCTGAAGGTGACTGTTTTATAGTAATACATCTAGTTTGTGAAAAATGTTTTAAATTTTCTTAAAACTTTGCAAGTTTTAATAAAAACAAACAATTTAAAAAAATATATAAATGTGACCCATAGCTTTTTGGGTATTCTCTCCAAATTTAATATTTATTGGGGAAGCTTTTAACTCCTCTCTTTAGACTGACTGTTGTACAAGTAGAACTAAGTGATTGTTTTGAATTTGTTCAGTATACATTATATTCTTACATTGTCTATAATACCTGTGAATTCTGAATTCCATAATGATTAAGATAATTATGAGTTTCTCAATGAATTCAGTGTGATTTACTAATAAATTTCATTAGAATGTTGCATTTTTTTTATATTTTTGTAACATCATGTCGATGTCAGTTCAAGGTAAAAACACACACAATCAGTAAGCAAACATGTTCAATGGAATATAAAATTAAGTTAATGAAATCATAAGATTAGCAAGTAAAATGCTTTCTGTTTTTGTTAAAAACACTAAAAAGTATACTTGCAGTCATAGAAATAATAATGTGGTATACATACAGGAGTTGCAATCAATAAGTAATGAGAACTAGGCAGTGAACATAATGGTACTAAAGATAATCACAGAAAATGATAAGTGGGTAACTGTTGTTCTGCTAGATGTGAGCAGAAATAATATATAATATTATAAAAAAAAGTAATAGCTATATTAATACATTTTTAAATGAAAACTATTTCATAGTATTCCACAATCAAAGATTAAAAACTGCATGGCAACATGAAAACAAAGTGGTGTTCTGTGTCAAGCAAAATATTGATAAAGTACAACTTAGGTAAAAAGTAATAATGAATAAGTTAGCATTCCTAAATGAAAATTTTATTCTGCTTCATTTTATGTAACATTTCAAGCACATACACTTTATCATGTTACATAGAAAAACACAACATATACTGTCTGACAAAGGTCATCTACCCAAAAATTTGCGTTTGAAATGTCCTGCAATTCTTTTAAGTTGTTTGGTTGCCATTTGATATTTTCAGGTTCGGTATAAGCTCTTAAAGGCTCAAAAATATTTGTATTGAGACTTTATACAGAACAAGCTGTGGTTGTGAGTGTTCTGTCAACCTATTTATCACCAAGATGTTGTTCTGTTATATTTCCTGTATGCTTGGGATCACTGTCTTGCTGGAAAATGAATCCCTTGCCAATGAATCCTGTTCCAGAGGGAATTTAATGATAAATCAGAATCTGCTTGTACTTGTCAAGAATCAGGGTGATATCAGTTTTGTGAAGATAATTTAACACCATTGGCTGAGGTGTAACTCAATACTTGTATTTATTCTTCACTGACATTCATTGTAGGTGTTTTACATTGACAATGATATCATTCTAGTCTCTGTTTTCAAACAAACTTTCATTGATTGTTGCTGAATAATGTGAACTTGGCTTTATTTTTAAAGAGCACACATATCCAGCTTTTATCATTTCACTCATTGTAGTCTGATGTCCTTTTCATACATTTGGTTTGGTTAATTCTTCTGTAAAGCAGATTTTGAGCAGCTATATGTCCATGGAGACCATTTCATGGTAATGTGTACTTTTCAGTTCTCAGGGTAACATTCATATTTTTATTTACAGTAAGGTTGTTGATTAGATCTATTTTCAGCTGTCATCTACCTTATAAATAACGCACCCTGAGATGAGTAACTTGGTTTTTTGAGTGTTTTATTTTTTGAACACTTCTATTGTTTACAGTTCCAGTTCCATCTTCAGAGTCTTGCATACAGTTTTTACTAAAACACTGAATCTTGCCACAATTGTTCAGATGGAGTATTTTTGACTGGTAAAAACTTTGATTTCGATATGCTTTTAATACAGTATTTCAGTCTTTGGAGCCATGACTGGAATCACATTAGCACTCTGGATATTGTATGATTTCCTGTACTTTTACAGGCTTTATACTGATGAGACACTTTCTGATTGGCTGAATGACAACCAGTCACAGTGTGAACTATCACCAATTGACTGTACCCTGGTACAGTTCACTTATGAATGATAAAGGTGTATTATTCCCATAGAGTTTGTCTTTTATACCATTTTTCTCACCATATCCATAACTGGAAATGCATGTTTGTGTGACTGCCATCAGTGAAGGGGTTGGATGTTTATTTTTCCGTGTTATATTCCAAGCTACTTGGCAAGTAAAGTAAAATGATGGAGCTAATTATATTATGAAATTTCAATGCTTAAAATTAATTTTGTTGAATGTCATTAGTTTATCAAAAAAAATAATTTGTCATCAGAAAATTCAGTTCAAGTTTCATGAGTGCAGCTGGCTAATGAGATTTCATTTCAAAGCTAAAAAACAATATATAAGGTGCTTATTGACCTTCATTCTCATACTGTTTAAGGTAATTCAGATTTTAAATAATAGTTATAGCCTCACTTTGACATCTTTATAGATACAGAGCATATAATTTTGAATCATGACATGGGTTTTAAAAACTGCTATTATTTTATAGCAGTTTCATTATTATTACAAAACAACTGCATAAATAAGGTGTAGTTAGAATAGAAATTATAAAATTGTTTTATAATTTTTTAATGATTATACAAATTACTTGAGTTTAATAATGCAAATTAATTTAAGCTACAAAATGAAATATTGTAAGCTGTATTTTTTAATGTTTTGATTTATATGTTCCTTTGCTAGATGGGACTACTAACCATGATGATGATGCAATACCTAGAATATTTATGAATGATAAGGGTCAAGTAGCTTTATAGGATATCTAGAAACAAGGATACGTTAAAAATACAAGTAATGAGTAATAAATTATGTATTCAATGAGTGTTTCACTTCGGCATTAGACAGTGAAAGTTATTGCATCTGTTCTTCTATTCAGGTCAGTTACATGTTTATTGATCAAAGCTAAGTATTTTGGGCAAAGGCACCATTAATGAGGAATATCTGTTGAAACGTTTGTTAACTTAGACCATCAACTTGTGTAAAAGTGAATGTACCCTGTAGCAAACATTATAAAAGAAATAATTTACTATCATTACATGGACTGGACTTTACTTTTTCTGTTTTTAGAAATAATTAAAAAGAACCTGCCAACTATAGAACATGTTGCAACAGTAAACAGTATGTTAATTTTTTTTAGTTTTTTCTAGTTTATTACACATTTCCTTTAATTGTGTAGTTCATAATTATAATTTTTGGAGAAGGCTGGGCATTTTATAAATATTTGTTTCTTTTGGTTTAGATTTTTTAGATTTCCATTTGTAATACAAGTTACTGCACTCGGCAAAAGAAAGTGTAGATTGAAGTAAATGTGTCATTCTCAATTCTTTAAAATTAACTAGTTTAATTTAGTCATTTTTTGTGTAAATTTAGGAATTTCCTTCGCATATGCACCTTACTCTTTGTCAGCCTGCAACATTCAGTAGAATGCAGCGAGATTCAACACAATCAACAATCAAAAAATTGAAAGAACAAAACAAAATGCTAACACAGGTAATATTTCTTTCATTACATTATATGTTTTAGTTTTTTTTATCAAAATGCAAACTATCTTGCTAGGCATTTGAACATGTTTTTCTGTACTGAAATCCTCAGTTTTCTTTTTGAAACAATTTTGTGGTACAACTTTTGATTTTGAGGATGTGTTGGAATTAAATTATTTACACTTTTTTTGGTAATTTTTACAGGAGGTGAGTAAAAAATCTGAATACATTACACGACTAGAACGGGAAAAATCATCTCTCATTAGAGAACTGTTTCAAGCAAAGACTCAACATCACCAAGAAGTAGACTATACTGCTTTTATATGACCTGTGGGCTTTGTATCCATCTTTACTCCGTTATCTCGTGTCTAAGTGCCATGCTCTTTGCAGTTTGTTTAATCATTAAGGAATGAAATTATTTTTCATTGCTATAAATGTAATGGGCTGCAATGTGTGAAAAAAAAATGTTAGATGAATATGCAATTAAATCTTTATATCATTTATAGAAATTGTTCACTTTCAAAACATTTAAACTGCTTTTATAACTATAAAATACTGTTTTCTACCTGACCTAAACACAAAGCAAAACATTTATTAAAATTTGTGATAATTCTTTACTGTTTATTACATTGTAATAAAAAGTATAATCCCTCAGTGGTAAGTTTGAAGAGTTTAAAAGATGAGTAAAAGTCAGGTTTTGGTACCTGTGATGGACAGAGCACAGATTACCCAATTGTGTAGCTTTGTGCTTAACAAAAAACTATTTTCATTATAACTGTTTTAAGAAAATTCTAATTATCACGTAACATAAGAATTTATTAATAATATATAACTTAGTCATAGTGTTTTAAACTTTTTCTGAGTATTGTAACAAAGGGTGTTTTTTAATTTCCTCTCTTTGAATAATTTCAATTTTTAAGGCATCTGAATACAAAAGTTCTATTGTTAGTATAGACATGATGTTAGAAAAACACATAGGTTCAAGAAGTCTTGACAGAAATGAATGAAACCCTATAACCCGAGCACTTTTGAAAGGTGGATCTTTCTTCTTTAGTTTCCCATTTGCCCCTGAAGAAGAAAGGTCCACCTTTTGAAAGCACTCGCACTATAGGGTTTTTATTCATTTCAATCATTAGTATAGAGGTATTATCATTGAGACCTTAGTTGTCTTTTGCACTAGTTTTTAAACTTTTTATTTGAATGCTAATATTAATATATTTTTCTAAGTATTAATTGGCTGTTTGTTAGATTAAAAAATCATGTTTATTTTTAAATTTTAATATATAAATTCACAGGGAAATGCTGAAAGTTATTGTTGAAAATGAAAAAAAAGTTTTCTGAAACTGTTCATTTCTGATGGGTTTTTTTATTGGAGAAGTTTTACAAAAAAATAAGAAATTTTACATTTAAAGCATTCTGATTAGATAATATTTGATCATTTCTGTTTCATGTACTGGTAATAAGTTTAGTCATGGATTCGGGATTGTTTTTGCTGGCTCTTTATGTTAAATGTATACAATGTTTTTTGAGCAAGCTTTATCACTTTTATATATGTATTTACACAATTCTGGTGTTATATTTTGATTCTAATGAACTCTGCAATTAAACTTATCACCTAAGTTAATAATGATTACAATGAGAGAGCTCTCTTCATATTAACTTGTTATTGTTTGTGTCGTGTTTGTTTCTGACTTAAACATAAGTATGTGACTTTAAAGCTTTTTGTAGTATAGTTTAGATATCATGGTAATTGGAAGGGTTGAATATAAAAAAAAATATGAAACTTATTTTGTTGTTACTAATTTCATGCCTCTCTAGTGCCATTATTTTTAAATATATTTTTTATAAAAGTCTTTTATTTATATATATATTTGGTTATTGCTATTTGGATGAGTTTGTACAAAACTAAATGTAAGTTGAAGTAACTGTTATATGGAATAAAGTTAAAAGAGAAAGAAAGTGGATGCACTTGGTATTTCTAAACATTGTAAAACTTGTAGAAAAAATATTTTTTGGAAAATCACTGCTGTTAAATTTAGTTTATTTTTTGGTGGTTTTAAAGTATAAGAGATCCTTTTGGAGAAAATCCTTATTTGAGTTCACAGTAATACAAACAAGCAAATACAGGGAATTTTATGTGATTGGCTTTTATAAAATTTGTGTCATGTTTAACTCGTAAAGAATGACACAAATAATATGTACAAAACTGATGTAGGTGATAATCTACCCTACATTATGTTCAAGCTTGAGCATCACTCAGTGAAACATTTCCTTAAAAAATCATAAAATTGTATTTTTCTCTCAGTTTTTACATTGTGAAATTTCCAAAGTTTTGTTGTGACACTTTTTTGAAAGAACGTTAAAAACTTTCTTTTCATCTTAGAATATAAATTATTTCTTATTGGTCAGCAAGTTTCATATATGTAATTAGTTTCAACTTGATTGATATTAATTAAAACATTTCATATGATACTTTATTTTACCAATTGCAGTAGTCACCATCATAAACAATACGTAGAAAATTGACAAAGATTTATTGGTGACCTATGACTATTATCAGATCTGGAATTTGTTCCTAAATCTTGTAAACTTCCCATTAAATACTAATGTTCTTCTCTGCAGGAATTTCATCTAATCACTTTCCCAAGAAACCACAAATTATTTCTCATACCACTTTAATCACTGTAAATTCAGCTAACTAACTTCTAATCGGCTCTGTCCTTAGTATTTAAACTTTGCCTGTAGCTATTTTCCGAGCTGATCTTCATTATTAGTTGTTTATTGCACATGCTGTGACATCGTAAATGGGTGCAACCAAATAGATCTACTAATAAAATCACAAACAGAAGGAAAATCATCTGAGAAACAAAACCTTGAGAATTCTCATAGGATGGTAGTTTCTTAGCAAATATAAACCTATTTTTTGGGATAAGCATACAAGTTCTGTATTGCCCTTGAAACTACTTCCACTATCATAAATCCTGCTCAGTATGATGGTCATAGTTATGCAATGTTACATAACACCACATTTTTTCACTGTAACAAGCTGCTGTTTTAGGCCAAACATTTTTCATATACCTTCCAATATATTTTGACAGTGACTTCTAAGACTGTTTTTAAACAGATTGAAAACTCAAATATCCATTGGCCCTGCTTCAAGGGCTTTGATGGTTAAATGGGATTGCTGTGATTTAATTTTTTTTTAATTTTTTCATTGAAAACAGTTGTTGATTACTGTAGCTGGTAGCTTGTGGTCATTTGTAATTTTCAATGACTTTTGCATTGGAGGGTTCTCTTTTGTAATAAACATAGCCCCCACTTTGCATATGAGAGCATAGTTTTGGATTGTGGTTTCAGGGTTCTCAGTGCTGTTCTTCAATGGAGGACATTGAAGGCTCCTTTTTAAAAATATAAGGGCTCTACATCAGTTTTCAATCTTTTTTCTATATAAATATCCTTTCTTAGAAATGGTGTGACATATCTCAAAGCTATGGTAGCATTCCACTGTTGAGTGGTCAAGAATTTGCTGTGAATCAAATATATAAGTGTGAAGTATGGTACCTGATTCACAATTTTTAGGAACAAACTATTGCATTAGCATATGGCAATGGTTCCCATGTAGTGTGATTAATCCTCTTTATATCAAATGTTCGTTCTTGTAATTAGTAAAAGATTATTATTACAATTGAAATCTCTAATATTCTGGTAGCCTTGTTTCATTGTTATTTTTCTGTTATGAAAACATACAGAAAATAATGAATACATGTAGGAACATTTGAAACAAGATTGTGTAACTAGTTGAATATTATATTTTTTTTCATTAGTAAAAACAGTAGAGTGTTGTGGCTATGAATTCCTGCTGTAACTAAGTCAATTGTTTGGCTTTCTACTCAGAATACCTACTGCACAAATATTACAAGTATCATTTTTGTCTTCACTTGGTATAACGAGTACATTATTTCAAAGGAGATAATTGAAGACGTTTGAAAGTTGTGAAGAATGTAACATAATTTATTTGGTTTTTAATGTACAAAACTAATCTTTGTATGTAACTTATTTTACATTGTCTTTCAAAAGGTTTTAATTGAAACAGTGACTAATTTAGAAAACTGTCTCACGTTACTAACAGATCCATTGTTGAACTTAAAATTTTTTGGGGGGAATTTTTGTATGAAGGATCATCAGTGTCATTTAACCAGAATTGTAGAAATGTATTTCTTTCAAATTATTTTAAGTGCCTTTGCTTTCATAGTTTGATTATTTAATTATAGTGATAATTTTATTGAATTTATCACCTACATGGGAATTTTTTTCTAATTCCTAATGAGAAGGAAATTAGTGGTTTTCTACACATTTAAATGATGTTAATGTGATATTTCACTGATTAAAATATTAACTATTTTTAACTATAATTTTCTTATTATTCTTGATGTTTAGTCAAATGAAATATTTAAATGCATGCCCTAAAAATAGGCAATGTGTTTTTGCAAATTAAAAAGATTTTTATCAAAGATAATGATTTACTATGTTTTATAGCCAATTCATAAACAACGTATTGTATTGATTTTTGTATTTTGTTAGTTTTCCTATAGACTTAAAAATCTTGTTTCAATCATAATACTCCTGTTGGTAAGCTTCAATGCAAACATTTAAGGTACTGCATCTAATCTAGCTCAAGCATCAGAAATTATTGGCAGTTGTAAAATTATACGTAATTTATAAATTAATATATAAAACATTTTTTATTTCTTTTGTTAGTGCAATGCTGTCCAATAGGCTGTTTATGCTGTATTTGTTGTGAGAATTGAAATCTGAATTTTATAAACAACCTAATCACCCAACTTCTCGTGCAGGCAAAAACAATATTCGAAGAAATGAAACTTTAATTGTTGTTAGAATTCTAAAATGCAAGTGTTTTTCTACAGCTATGATGACATGATACAACAAAATTAAGACTTGGGTAATATACTTTACTTACATAAAGAACAAAGTAATGCTTTGTATTTATGATTTTATGACAAAGTTACAAAGGCAATCTGTAATGTCCCTAATTTTTAATTACTAAACAGAGAGAATGCAGTCAGTCAGCAGTACCTTACCATGCATGAAGGATTGACTGTCAATGTTATAATGCACCCCATCTTAAAGTGTGTGGAATATTTTGTGGCATCACATGGATTCACACCTAGATTGTCAACTCTGAAATCCAGAGCCAAACCTCGTCCTAAGAACTGAACATTTATAAAATACTACTATATATTGTCTGTTTGTTTTTCTTTACTTTAAATAGTATTTGTTGCATTTCATCCAATGTGTTATTTACAACATAGAAATTAGTTAAACCCTCTAACTGAAGGTTTGTAAGATACTGGATTATGGAGTGTGACTAAGTATTATTTTTATCTCCAACTGAGTTCAAATGGAAGAAAGAAAGAATTGAAATCAAAAGATACACAAGTACAAAAATGCTTATTTACAAAATTAAAACAAGACCAAGCCGGTTGTGTATGTTGAGCTGATAAGTGTAAAGTGAAGGCTTTATTCAAAAGTTCTTATCAGCTTGGTGTTTCCCCCTTCTAAGTTATTCTAAAAATTCTTAAACATAAAATGAAAGTGAAACCAATAGTTACTGTTGTGGTATTCTTGGTAAAACAATTTTCCTGCAGAGAAGTCAGTTACATAAAAGTGAAACACGGTCATAGCAAATAATAATTACTTATGGTCAGAGCACTGTTGATAGAACTTAATCTAAATACGTATATTCACTATACAAACACACAGGGATCCATTAAACCTAATCATAATGGGATACACATATATATATAGTTAATCAAATCTTATTTACAATTAAGGTGAGAAGTTTAATTTACCAAGAGGAGCAATGACAGCAAGTCTTCCAACTGAAGATTTCTGGTAGTCTGGAAAATAACCCCTAGCTCTCACAAGAGGACATGTGCCAGAGTCTACACACTTCCTCTTCAGGCTATGTTGGTGAGTGTCTATGCTCTAACAAACTTCTTTGCAATAATAAAATCCCCAGGCTTTTGTTCACCTGTTTGCCTGATCTTGAAAATAGTGTTTTCAAATTGCTATCTCGTTCAGCACGAGTTGCCCTTTTACTTCAGTCAGGAGCTTTTTGTGGGAGCTCCATCTCCTCAGCATTTACATCCAACAGTGTTATAGGGATCATTGTCATAGAAGCTGATGCTCTAATGTAATGAAGTGTAGTTATGTTGGTGTTTGTGGTTTCCACTGAAAGAGAACTGAAGAAGTCTTAGTGGTGCCTGCCACTAAAAACTGACTTTGGTGTTAATGTAGGTTTTGAAAATGGGTTTACTGAGCTATCCACTTATTGGTTTTCATGCAGGGCTTGTAATTTAGGAAAAGTTTTTCTCTGGCCATAAGAATGGATGATCTCACTGGATCTGTCCACATAAAACACCCACTGATGAGATACATCATAGCACTTTTGTACTTACTTTTTTCATTGTCATCAGACTTGTATTTTGAGCAGGACTTGCTCTTGGACCTTCTGATTTTCTGGCTATTCATTTTATTCTGGACTTTAAGGAGTGCTGGCTCTGGCCTTGTGGTCTCCAAGGGTACGACAAGAACACTAGGAATCGTGAATTTGGCTGAACCCATACTCCATCTTCATTAGACCAGATAGTGAAACAGCTGGTGGTGTTGGAGTATGCTTCAGGGAGCTAAACCTTCAGTTACTGTCTTTATATATGCATGTAAGATGCATTGTTGAGCAATGCATCTTCATCTATAGGCTCCAATGATGTAAATGTCAGGCCAGCACTAAAAGCTCCACAGAATCACTGAAATCAGAAAACATTTTCTCACCAATGACTCATTCCATGATTTCTTCACAGAGTTTGAGTAGCAACTTAAAGTCAATGGAGGGTTGAAAGATAGTAATAGTAAAACACTTCTTGGAAAGTCTCATCAGGACTGAATTTTCAAAATTAAAAATGCTCCACGTCTACAGGTTTAGGTGTGCTCACACATAACCTGCCTGTAGAACACGATCCCTACTACCTGCAGACAGCTCGGTTTATGCAGGCATCCTTGTGTCTGGAGCCTGATGTAAACTACCTGTTTAGTGTCCACATCTATCTTGAAAATCCCACCATATTTGTACTACCATTTGGTTGTTGAACCAACAGAACTCAAACATTAAAGGAAAGAAACAGGGAGGGGACGAGACTGCAGTACAATTATCCACACAAGTGACAGACATTAGATGAAATGTCAGTTGGACGTTAACCTAGTTACTCTGACCATTGAAATTTGATGACTCCAACATCTTGTCTGCAATATCCTCAGATACAAGTTAAGCACAGAGGAGAATTTATACATCTCACAGGAAGGTGTTACTCTCTACCTCCAGCATTCATGCACAGTCCACATTTTCAAGTGCTATAAATGGCCTTGTACTATAAACTGTTTTCCTGCAAGTGTGCATGAGCTGTCTGTTACTCGTAGTTTTTCTAGAAAATTCATTTCTGCCAATTCCAAGTAAACAATCACACAAGCCTAAGTGAAAATGTCACTTGTTTCTTTAATTAATGCCTTAGAGGTCATTTTCCATACTTAATTGCACAACTATTCAACACACAGATAAAATTTGTATTCTTAGTCAAGTTTTTGCTTTGTTTTCAGTGACTGATTCATTTTGTGTTGAATAACATTCATGAAAGACACTGTAGTTTCATACACGTATGCTAAGCCAAGAATACACATAATTGAAAACACAATACTGAAACATCTATAAACCATCACATACACAAGTAGCTTTTGATATGTTACTTCAAGTATGTGTGCCATTACCATAGTAATGGTACACAGGCTACTTTCGTGAACTTAACCACTGTAGTTACAGTTTTAAAATGTGTTCCTATGTACAACACAACAGTATTACAGAATAAACATTTCCTGGTAGAATTTATCTAAACAGACTATTCGCCATAATATTCCATGCATCATCAATGTTATTTGCACTGTTTCTACCTTGTATATCAATTCTCTCCCTTGCCAACACTGGTTAAATACATCAGGCTACAGTAAGTAGACATTCACTGTCCCAAATGGCCACCAATCTCAGACCATTGAACCAATGTATTTCCTTAATAAAAATTGATCCTCTCATGCTGTACAGCTGCAAAGGAAAGTAAACACTGATAACCCTAACAAAACAAGACAAAAGTGGCTCAATTCGATCTCTGCTTTAAGATAAAATATAAGCCCCTTCATGAAATGTGAGTCATATACAATCAAGTGTATGAGCAATTTCTTTCCAAGAGAAACCCCACCAATGGTTCGAGAGAATCACAGAAACTATGATAAAGGTGGTGATCTTCACAAAGAAAATTGCTTTGGAGTCTAGAGCACAAGGAGTCACAACTTTCGAGTCATTGTTCTCTTAAAAAACAAATATCTTACCATAATACACAAGTGAAAATTGTACAATGTAGTACATACATTGCATCTAACATAATTACTTGGGAGCTCAGGAAGAAAGGGTTGCTAAGCCATTTTAGTCAGCAACATTGTGACTACTTGACCATCTTAACTGGTCACATGCATGGCCTTTCCAAAAGAAACCCCACTGTTGGTTTGGAAGAACTGCAGCTGCTATGATAAGGGTTATGATCTTCATGAATAAAATCACTTGGGTTTTTGGAGGGCAAGTGGTCACTACACCTTTACAGTTGTCAGTTTCTCAACCAAACAACCTTCCTAGCATGGGATGGTCAAGTGATAGTTGTACAATGGAGTTCATCCATCACACTTTACAGCACCACTAAAAGTCAAGGAATGCTACGCCCTTTCAGTCAATAATTGTACTATGTAATGCATACATATCTTATATCATGTGTGGAATGCAAGAGATGCTAAGCCTTTTCAGTCATTGGTAGCACAACCAAATGAACATCCATGCTAATGGTGATTGGAGCAACATATCTCTGGCTGTGTCTAGGAGATATCACTCCGACCTTAGTTCTGGTCTTGGCATCCTCAAGGTGGACATACTGCATTAATGATTAGCAAACAAACATTTCACAAGAGAGTTATCAGATGTCGACTAGGTTGAACCCAGGAGCAGTGGACTGCATGCGTATATGTACTGGAGAGAATAACAGTACCTCTAATAACACAAGTGGTGTGTCCGTGGTTTACTGTGGATGAAGTTTAGTTCAGTTGTACTGTGTAACATGGTTATAGAGCCAGCACGTGAAATAAACTATTCCATGTCCAGAAAGTAAGCAACATTAGTTTAGGCTTCCCTGAA